CTAAAGTTTGGCTGACTGGCTTCAGCAACACTTTCCACACTGGAGCCAAGTCAGCCTTGGGCCGTCAGGACTGTACAGACTCTCCCCAAGGAGCGGACGCAATTTATTGTTGACCCAAGACCTGGCACTGACTGCCTACTACGAGGGTTTATCTTTTAACATTCTGTTACACAGAAAGCTTTTTATCGCAGTTTCCCTTCTCTACTGCCTTGACACTTGAGACCGCTTCATGTCTCTCGCCCTCCTCCATTCGAGCTTATCCACGGGACGGGGAAGGTGATGACCTACAACATAAACAAGCATGCAAGTACCGCGGTTTACTTCGTGCGTGGGACGCAGGTCAAACGGCCTCCCCCCCTTCATCCACAGCACACGCATCTGACATCCACGTGCCTGCCCCGACGTGTCTGCTTGTTGTCAAACTCGCGGAAGGCGACATCGAAGCAAGCAGTTGCCTCTTGTATCCCTGAGGCCGCCGACGCCATGTTGGACGCCATGCACGTCATGGAGTGGTGACCGGCGCTACGTTCGGCAGTGCTTTGCCGCCTGGCCAAAGCCGAAGGCCTGATGGTGAGAGACTACACGTCAAAGCATCCAACCAATCCGAAGCGTTTGACGGAGAAAGGAGCCACAAGCAATTTACGGTCCTGAGACGTGTACATCTCTAGGTGGTCGGACGAGGGTATTTTCGAACGTAGATGTCGGATACGAAAGCCCCCCGCACGTGGGCGTCGGGAATTCATTTCCAATCCTTTGATTGAATCACCGAAAACACACAAGCCACTCAGGTTGGGAGTTCGTGATCCCTGCACGTTCGATGTATATTTCTCGACGAAATATTTGACAGTTTTGTTCGAGTTACCCGCGACCAAGAGTTTGTATTGTACACAAGCGTGCACCTACAGTTTTTATTGCTCCAAACGATCAAGGGTCCTTTCCACAACTCAAGGCTGATCCACAAGGATATTCGGGGTGTGCTTGAATAGCTTCCGAAGGCAAGGTCAGGGGTTGCGCGCAGATGCTGCCGCCACCTCTCGGGGTTCCCTAAGCCCGGATGACATGCACCCACATTGAAGTATCGGACAGCATCAGCGGAAATATTTCGGCAAGCATCCCGGGAAATCTGTTTCATGTCCCCGCCCCAGTCATAATGCAGCCGCATAAAACTCCGGAATGGCCATTCAATATGCCCCCCCCACCCCACCCCACCCACCCGAAAAAAATCAAAACTACGCACGCGCACGTGCTTTCTTCGATGCACTGAGCTCACGTATCTCTTGTATTTTGCTCGCGTACATCCCTGGTCCGGATGTGAACTTTTTTCAGCAATACCACTTTCTCCATTGATTACTAAGCCAATGCACCCACCTCACGCCCTGCCGCTTTTGCATGTTTTCACTCCAGTTCGCTTCCCAATCGGATATTGGCAAGGCGAAGGTTGAACCAGAGAACAAGAAGACGGCGTTTAAAAGCGCCACCTTCCACCTCATTTTGCCGTTCATGGCGTACTTCAAGGGCATCTGCCTGACGACGATCGACTGCAGGGAGCACAGCCTGCTGAAGATGGTTGGGTACTTGTGGGGTGAATGGGACCCGGAACGACCCATCACCCAGACCGAGCTCTCGAGTAAGTTCCGATTTCGGTCCTGCGCTTTTTGGCCAAGCTCCACCTGGTAAACCTCCTCGACCGTGTTGTTGAACGTCCTTTCCTCGTGCCTTTTGTCGCACCCTGGTCCCATGTTGATGCAAGCAGGCGACGAGCGGTGTTCCCTACAT